ACAATCTTCCAGCCATGCTGACGACCTCCGGGAAATCTTCGCCATCATGCAAAAATTCAACCTTCGGCTAAACCCGAAGAAGTGCACCTTTGGCGTCCAAGGGGGCAAATTCTTGGGCTACATGGTGAGCCGAAGGGGTATTGAGGCCAATCCCGAGAAAATCCAGGCCATCATCAACATGGAGCCCCCACGCAATGTGAAGGAAGTTCAACGGTTGACGGGCCGCCTGGCAGCCCTCAACCGCTTTCTATCTAAATCAGCGGAGAAGTCTCTACCCTTCTTCCAGATCATGAGGAAGACGGCTGGCTTTCTATGGACTCCAGAATGCCAGGGGGCTTTCGACGAGCTCAAACGATACCTATCTTCACCTCCTGTGCTCTCCAACCCCAAGGTAGGGGAGACCCTCTACCTCTACCTTGGGGTTAGCCCGGCGGCCATCAGCTCTGTGCTCATCCGGGAGGAAGACGACATCCAACATGCCATCTTCTACGTTAGCAAGACCCTAAGGGAGGCCGAGCTCAGGTACTCCCATGTGGAAAAACGGTGTTAGCCATCATTTGGACTGTCAAGAAGCTGGGCCACTACTTTCAGGCTCACCCGGTTCAGGTCCTCACCCATCAACCCCTCGATGCCCTCATGAGGAGCCCCACCAGCTCCTCCCGCATGGTGAAATGGGCTATCTTCTTGAGCCAGTACAACATTGACATCCGTCCAAGGCCTGCCATCAAGGGCCAAGCCCTGGCGGACTTTGTGACGGAATGTACCGCAAGGGCAGCCACGGACGGGGAGCCCTCGGCTACCTCGGACGACTGGTGGACCCTCTACACTGATGGCTCCTCCGCGACCAAAGCATGCGGGGGAGGGGTAGTCCTCATTACTCCCGAGGGCTTCAGGGCCTACTATGCAATCCGCTTCTCCTTCAAGGTCTCCAACAATGAGGCCGAATATGAAGCCCTCCTATGTGGCCTTCGGCTGGCTGCCAACATGAGGGCTCGGCAGATCCACATCAAATGCGACTCCAAGTTGGTCGTTGGCCAAATCTCCGAAGAATATGAGGCCAAGGAGGGGAGAATGAAACAGTACAAGGAAGCGGCCAAGGAGTTGCTTAAGGTATTTGAGGCACACTCTCTCACTCAAATACCGAGGGCTCAGAACTCCGAGGCCGACATATTATCTAAGCTCTCGGCCGACTCCCCCGAGCACATCTCCAAAATTGCCAAAATCGAGGAACTCAGCCTCTCAAGCATCCATGCAAGCCCCGTTATGAACATACAACAACGTCAGGAGGATTGGATCTCAGATATCACCACCTTCATCTCCACAGGGCAGCTACCCGAGAATGAATCCCGCGCTAAACTGGCAAAGCTGAGGGCTCCTAGCTACACCATCGAAGATGGGAGGCTCTACAAACGATCTTACAATGGCACGCTACTTCGGTGCCTTCATCCAGATGAAGCCGAGGTCGCAATGGAGGAAGTGCACAGTGGCACTTGCTCAACTCACCAGGGATCCTTCTCCATGTCCCGAAGGCTCATTCTCCAGGGCTACTTCTGGCCAACCATGGCCAGGGATTGTGCTGACCTTGCCCGGAGGTGCACCGCATGTCAACATTTCCAGAAAGCCCCCGGCAGGCCAGCGGTCAACTATGCCCCCATCAGCACATCTGTCCCTTTTTCTCGATGGGGGATTGTGGGCCCTCTGCCGAGGGGTACCTCCAACAACAGGTACATCATTGTGGCCGTCGACTACTTTACCAAGTGGGTGGAGGCTGAACCCCTCGCCAGCATCACAGAGGCGAAGTGCCGTCACTTCGTCCTCAAGAACATCCTCACAAGGTTTGGCGTCCCCCAGCAGATCATCTCCGACAATGGGACACAATTTGAGGCAGCCCCCTTCTGTGCCCTTCTGGAGGCATGGGGCATCAAACACACCTTCTCCTCCGTTGCCTACCCTCAAGGCAACGGGCAAGTAGAGAATGCCAACCGGACCTTGCTCGAGGGCCTCAAAACGAAGCTGGAGGCCGAGGGTGATGGCTGGGTAGAAGAACTCCACAACATCCTTTGGGCCTACCGCACCACCCCTCGGCGAGCAACAAGTGAAACTCCCTTCTCCCTCTGCTACGGTTTTGAAGCCAAAGCTCCTACGGAAGTCACCCTTCCCACCCGAAGGGTGATTCAGTATGACCCCGAGGTCAACGACAGCAACATGGCCCTTGACCTCCACCTCATTTCAGAACGCCGGGAGCAGGCCTTCATCCGGGCAGAAAACTACCGAAGGCAAGTCAAAAGCTACATCGACGCCAAAGTTCGCACCCGAGAATTTCAAGTGGGGGACTATGTCCTCCGGAGGAGGGAAGCCAGCCAACCGACCGAGGGAGGAAAAATGGCACCAAAATTCGAAGGCCCCTACATCATAGCAGCCATCATCAAACCCGGGACCTACAAGCTCAAACGCCCCAACGGGAAAGAAGTCCCTAGGCACTGGAATGTACCCCACTTAATTAAATTTTACCAATAATGTAAGAGCGGCCAAGCCCTCATAACTAGTGAATGTACTATCCTATGGCCCAAGGCCTCCAATTTCGAAGAATGAAGATACATTCAAGACATCAGGCCCTCATACTGACTACAGGCCCCAGGCCTCACCGCGAGAAGAACCCCCTCCGGCACCAAGTGCCGAGGGCGGACACCATCAACACCTACGACAAACAGTGAAAACACCACGTGTTTTCAGTCAAGACCCCTCGGCACCCAGTGCCAAGGGAGGGAACTCCTATCACCAACAATAAGGAACGCCGTGTGTTTCATTTCCCTTCGGCACCCAGTGTCGAGGGTACATTCCCACCTTCATCATAAAAAAAAGACAAAATGAGAACACCAAGTGTTCCTACAGAAGACCCTTCGGCACCCAGTGCCGAGGGTACATCTCCATCATCAAACATCGAAACAAAGAAAATATGTTTCAAAGAAGACCCCTCGGCACCCAGTGCCAGGGATATGCTCTCCTATCAACTTCCAAACATCTGTTGGGAAACACCAAGTGTTTCATTTGAAGACCCTTCGGTACCAAGTACCGAGGGTAGACGCCTACATCAACTACGACAAAAGAGAACATCAAGTGTTCCTACAGAAGACCCCTCGGTACCAAGTACCGGGGGCTACACAATGAAACTAACACCAACTGTTGTTTCTAAAAGCCGTACCCCACGAGGACGCATATACCGAAGGCGCCACCATCGGTGCCGGCGGCACGTAGTGCCCCCGGCCATTTGCAACTAGTGTGCAAATGAAAACCCTTCCTTGAAACGCTTTCCGCGTCACTACCCCCAGGGTATGACAGGCATGAGAAATGCCCAGGATTCGACTTTCAAAAACGGAACGCTATCCGCGTCACTACCCCCAGGGTATGACAGGCATGAGAAATGCCCAGGATTCGACATCCAAACCGAAACGCTCCCCGCGCCACCACCCCAAGGGTGTGGCAGGCCACGGACTATGTCTAGCGCCGAGGGGACGACTTTCAAAAATGAGGCGCTTTCCGCGCCATCCCCCAAGGGGAGGCAGGTTACGGACCACCATATCTTGTGCCCAGGAAACGTCCCTCGATCCCCTCGGAACTCGGAAGGTTAACCCGAGGGAGGAGAGCCATTGGTGTATTCTGATGGTCTCCTAATAGGCCCAGCCTTACCAAGAAACCAAGTTTCTTGATGCCTTCCCTTCACCACCAACCAAAAAAAAAGGGGGGGGGGGGGTGAAGGGGAGTAGACTCAGCGAGAAATCAAAGAGTACACTCCAACAGATCACAACAAGCCGAGGGCTACTATTTCACTCCAATCAAAGAGAAATCAAAGAGTACACTCCTATTTCCCGAAGGATACTACTCAAACAAATATCATCAGGAAACGGCTATGTCCACTGCCTGGTCACCTCCGGTCACACAGGCACCGAAGGCTCCAGCAAGGGTCGAAATCTACACCTTTTAAAAATTACGCCGAGGGCACACACTCATCGTTCGCATTCTTCACAACAACAGGATTCCACACATATTTGGCCCTCAGCTAGAGACTCATACAACACAAGAGATGCCATCTCCCGAAGGCTCCCAAGGGAAAATCCACACTTAGAATATTTTCTAAGTCCTACATGCTTTTCCCCGGTCAACTACTCATACATCATGGAGGGATGCCACCTCCCGAAGGCTCCCAAGGGAAACTCTACACTTAGAGGGTTTTCTGAGTCCTACATATTTCACCTTCATCTCAAGGGACCTAATTGCCGAAGGCTACCTATCAATCGAGGGCTACAGTACACAAGGAATCAACACTCAAGAAAATTTTCTAAATCCTAAAGAATTGGCCCCCGGCCTATTCAATATTCCGGTTGGGGCTCCACAGTAGCCGAAGGCTACATGACATACTACACTTGCAAAAAATCTCTAAGTCCTGTGCACTGTGCCTAGGATTTGGGTTACTGCAAACACCCGAAGGCCTTATGGTGTGCTACACTTAGAAAAATTTTCTAAGTCTTAATTGCTGCTGAACCCTCGGTTGCATATCCAGCAGAGGGTGCCCAACTACCGAAGGCTCCCAAGGGCTAGCTACAATCAGATAATATTCTAAGTCCTAAAACATACATTCGAAGGAGCAAAGACATACATCCAAAACAAAAACGAAGGCATGCATTCAAGGAGAAAGGAATTGGAGAAAACAAATCATATAAACACAGCCCGAAGGCAATCGTTCAATCATCAACAAACAGAGGGCAAATGTAATACGAATAAATGTTACAAGCAGGCCGAAGCCGAAGGATGAATAATGTCACCATTACAAATACATGTTTACATAATACAAAATACATATCAAATAATGTCATCCCCGGGGGCCGCCTCCCCCGATGGCTTCGAGGTGACTTCTGCGTCGGCCTCAGGTTCGTCGCCCTCGGCTTCCTTCATAAGCTCAGAGTCCTCCAGGTCTGGCCTCTCGACATCAGGGGGAAAAGGAACGCGGATGTCTGGCTGCAGGGGGGAGCCCGTATGCTGCCGGGTCAAAGTCCTTTGGCTCGATCTTCAAGTGGCGAGCCATCCTCCGGTAGATGAGGGCTTGAGTGAAAAACTCGCCCCCATCATAGTATTGTTTACCCTTTCGGGAAACCCACTCCACGCCAGGCCCATCACACCACTCGTCGACCGAGGACTCGACGACCGAGGACAGCCATTGCTTGTGCTCCTCGGACCGCCACCCCCCTGCCAAGAACCCCGAGATTGCGTCCCCTCGGGCTCTCTCGACGGCTTCCACCTTCGCGGCCTCGGCTTCCTTGACAGCTTTCTCCAAGGCCTCAGCTGCGGACCTCTCGGCTTCTGCCCTAACCCGATCTGCGGCCTCCGCCCGCAGGGTCATCTGCCGAAGGCTCTCCTCCAGCATAGCCATCTGCCGAACAGCGTCTGCATTCTGGCGGATGAGCTCCCGCATCTTGGCCTCCTGCTCGGCCTTGCGAAGGCGCCACTCCTCTAGCCGCCGGGCTTGCTCCCCGAGGGCAATGCAGGTCTACAAAAACAAAGGGGTTAGCAAGGCCAAACATGGTTTCTTAGCTCGAAGTAAAAAAGAAAGAAATAAACATAAAAGACTTACTGTGAGGGAAGACCGGAGGATCCTGTCCTCGAGGGCTTCGTCTTCATCAGCCCCGAGGGCTACTCTGTCAATCTCGAGGGTGATGCCTCTCAGAAGCGCCCTCGGGTCGGCCGTACCGTTCATCACGGCCGTACCAGCCGGGAGGGAAACCATGAGGACCTCGGAAGATGGCCCCTGAACTCCCGGCGGCACTTTCGCCACCTGCACGTCCTCATCCGCCCCGGAGGCAGGCCCTTCATCAACAATGATCACCGGGGGGACTTTCTTCCCGGCATCCCCGGTCTTAGGCTTCTTGCCCTCGGGATCTCTGCCCGAGCCCTTCCTTTTGGCGGCAGCGGCAGCATCAGCACTTGGGCCCACCGACGGCCCCTCCGGTTTTTTGAAGAAGTCACCGGCGGGTTTTGGGACACCGGCGTCCGTCCCCCTCGGGCCCTTGGAGGGTTTTTTCTTCTTCAGGTCAGCAAGGCCTCTGACGTTCATCATTTTCACTGGGACACCTGCAAAAAAAAAGGTATGGGGTCAAAATCGAGGGGTTACTGACCGAAGGCACAAAGAATAAAAAGAAAAAAAAACACGAACAAGATAAGCTATGTGCTAAGATATGAAAACCGAGGGACCTCGTAGACTACCTCCTGTTCCCCCGAAGGCCTCAGCAAAAAGGGGGTACTTCTCATCCGCTTCCCCAATAAATCGGTATCTCCGAAAGCCGAGGGCGTAGAATCCCTTGTCGCCAGTATAGTCTTTGATGGAGACCTGCTTTGTGCGACCCTTCGGGATTTTGGCTATCACCAGGCCGTCTTTTTCGAGGGCGGCGCTTCCAACCTTCGGATGCCGACGGAAGCGATCCCGAAGTTCCGCCGGAAATGGGTTCTCAGCAACCCTGACATAGCACCAGCGCTCCTTCCAGCCCTTGTTGGACGAAGGCGCCTCCGTGAACAGCTTCCACCTGGCCACCTGCTGCAGGTTGGCGAAGCCCTCGGCATTCGCGTGACCCCCCCGACAGAGGTTGAAGCTCTGGAAGAACATGTCCAGGCTGGGGGTCACCCCTCGGTCCCTACAGAGGTTTAAAAAACCCGCCACGTAGGAGTGGCTGTTAGGTGTCAGCTGGCAGGGCACCAAGCCAACGAACCTCAGGTACTCCCGGAGGAAGGGGTGCAGAGGGAACCGAAGGCCCATGGAGACCGACAGTACGTGTACTGCAATGCACCCCTCAGGCGCCCGAGAGAGCACATCGTCAACTCTCGGCTCGACCACCTCGGCCGAGGGCCCTACATGTAACTGCGTCACGTAGAGGTCCGCCCTGTCCGCCTTCGACTTTATCTCCAAGGCAGCCGTGTTGAGCCAGGAATACCCCTCCGGCATATCTACGGGTTTCCCCTGATCAGCAGCTATAACCTTCTTCTTGGGGACAGCTGTCTTGGCCTTCTTCTTCCCGGGGGCCACCCGGATGGGAACCGCATTCAGCGGCTGGGAAGTACTGGCCTCACCAGCACCCCGAGGGGGAAGGACGGCCACAGTGACCTTCGCCCTCTCCTTTTCCTCCTCCTCTTCAGCAACTTGGACGGCGAGGGCCAACTCTTCATCCTCGGCAGTTCGCTCGAATTCCTCCGCCTCGGCCTCGACCATCAGATCCTTCTGCACCTCAGTGGCGAGGGCTGCATCACCACCATCCGAGGGCTGACCACTGCTTGACTCCACGTCGGAGATGCCTTCGTCCTCCATCGAGGGCGTCCTCGAGATGTCCTGAGAGTCACTCTGGGACGACATTCTAACTCTAGCTCGAGGGTTCGGGGGAACTAAGGTTTCTAGTGAATTCTATCTCCTAACCCGAGGGCGCAATGTACAGCTATACTAGAAGGAGAAAGGCAGGGAGCACTGACCTCGAAAGCTGAGTTAGGACCGAAGGCTTAAGTTTCTCTCACTAGATTTTTTGGCAGAGCTTCGCTAAGACAACTGAGTTCGCACAGCGGGAATGGCTCTGGCCTTGGGGTATTTATAGGCGCTGGAATCCAGGCTTGGGCCTGAAAACCGGGCCTCTGGACGGACCGTCATCATTACACACCGTCGTTTCACCCAACCGGTGACGCCGCCCGCGAACAGCCATCCATCACACGCCACGTGTGCCACCCCCCCCCCCCCCCCCCAACGGCTATGAACCTGACGTTACATATTCCAACGGTTATAAATCTGACGCTACATATTCCAACGGCTATATTCCCAACGGCTATATTCTGGGAGCCCCCAGGTTTTCTACTTCACTCCACTTCATCAAGGATAGCCTCCGGGTACACTTACCCAGAAGTGCCCCCGGGTTGCGCCCCACACAGCACATAACAGACGCCTTCGGGATCACTCCTTCAGAAACCCAAGGCTTCATATCAGGGCACCCCTCGGTAATTCCCCCTTCAGCACTGCAAAACCGGGTAGCCCCCGGGGAGTTGCCTTCATTGACGGATAACCCGTCGCACGCAGGTAATGGGAGCCCTCGGGTATCTTCATCGCCAACTAATCAACAAACAGTGGACCCCCGGTAACAACTCCATTGTCGCCCTCATCCAGCAGGCCCTCGATCCCCGAATTGAGGGGCTCCCCTTCGGCGCCACCAGGACATCAACAGCAAGCCTTCGGCTAATCAACACAGGAGCCCTCAGAAGAGAGAGCCTTCGGCATTCCCGTCATTCTCCACTTTATACCAAGGTTTGACATTTTCGATTCATCATTGGGGGAATTCGGTGCACTCTTTTTCCCTCATTAGGATTTTTTCCCAAAAGGTTTTTCCTAATGAGGTTTTTAACGAGGCATCCCCCCAAAATGAAACGAAAAGCGTCAGCCTTCGGCCCACAACAGCAACACAACTACTCTACTCCTTTTCACCACTTTACAAGTGCCTCAAGGAGTGGAGGACTGGAGGACCCCCTCGGGAAAATCATTAAATTACAAAATTTGGTGAAATTCCAACAAACAACAAAGCAAGCCCTCAAGTCCCGACATGTGGGTAACTGAGGGATTGCCTTCGGCAGGGACATAAAAGCAACAACTCCTCACCAATTTCAGAGATCACGACGGGACAACATCAAAGGACAAGCACAAATTACTCCTTTTCCCTCAAGTACCTTTCGGCAAAAGGAGTGAGGGACTCCTGATGGAGTATATGGCCCGGGAACCCCCGGCCCACAGACTCCTACTACTCCATCGAAGGCCCAACAGGCCCAACAGGCCCAAATCACAGCGCCCAGAGTACCAAGCAGTCCGCACAACGCGCCAGGGGTGCCTTCGGCCCCCTGGCCGAAGGCTCCAAATTCTCACAGAACGGGTTTCTCAAGCAAATTAAGAAACTGGGAGAAAACGGTGAAGACAGTAGCCCTCGGCACTGTGAGCCCTCGGCACCAGGGTGCCATCGGGTGGAAGAGCCCTCGGCTACTGCTCTATAGCCGAAGGCATCTCACTCGACAAGATATCTGCCTCACATGCGCACAGATCACCGTACCCCGCACAGACGTCCCATCCAACAGCCGCATTAAATGCGGCCACATGCGGCTGCCAGCGCCAACCAGTTGAGGTGACCCCTCGGCCAATAAGCGCTTGACACGTGTCCCTGCCCGGCATTTATTGCTACTATAAATAGCACCCCATTTCTTCATTTGTAACCACGCTGAAAACGGCATTCACACTGAATACACTCTCTCTCTACTTTTACTTACTTGCTCTGACTTCTCTCTTGTTACTTCCCGCAATAACCCTTCGGACATACACCCCCGGGTAGACTATCCATCAGTCACATCTCTTCCAGTTTTAAAGTATATTGCTTTTCCAAGTGTGTGGGATGTTATAAGAATGCAAACTTTTCCCTCAAAAAAATAAGAATGCAAACTTTTTTTTATCGTTATTGTTTTTTTTTTCTTATGTTTTTATTTATAGGAAGTTGAAGAGAATCTTGAACTTTTGAAGTCTACCTGGCGCGTCTTGGGTATCACGGTGACAATTCCATAGACTTGTTATGCATAGGTGCTTTGTTATTAGGTAAATAAATGTAACAAAGATTCATTAGTTGCACTTGTATAAACTTGTTTGAATAGCAACATCTTTCTGCATGCGATGTCATAACTAATAACTGCATATGTTCTACGCATAAGACCTGTGAATAAAATCAGTAGAAAACTTCATATTTTATTTGCACGCATTTTCCCGTCAATATAAAGTTCATATGTCTTTGTATTATCTATTATAAATAGAATCAGTAGAAAACTTGATATTTTATTTGCACGTATAGGACCTATGAATAGAATCAGTAGAAAACTTGATATTTTATTTGTATAAACTTGTTTGAATAGCAACTTCTTTCAGTTGTTTGCATTATTTATTATAAATGAAATCCTTTTGATATGCATATATGTGTAATAATATCACTTATATAGGTGTATTGGTTGCTTGTAATTTTTTTTTTGATTTTGTGTCATAACGATTGCATTCCCGTTGTAGGCACATGATAGAAAAGAAGTAGATGAAGATACAAGGCCGAGAGTATTGACAAAGAAAGTGTAGACAAAAGAGACAAACTTTTTAAATTGTGTGTTATGGCGTAATATAAAAGGAACAAGAAGCAAGGAGAACATATACACTGATGTAATATCTAAATGCATGTAATAATTAAACTGTAATAAGAGATTCAATTACATACATGTTGTTATATTTTTAAATGTTGTTTTTCTTTCTCTTTGTTGCATTGCACTTGTTGCTTTTTGTTTCAATATGTTATTTTTTGTTGAATCATATTGCTCATTGTTTTTATTATTGATTTTGGTTTTTTGTCTATTTAAATTTACATTTATATTTCTTACTTAATTGGAATAAAAATTATATATATATATATATATATATATATATATATATATATATATATATATATATATATATATATATGAGTGTGTGAGTGTATGCATATACAAATACCTAAAAAATAAGTCCGGATTTAAGAATAAACATACAGATACATTTAGAAACAACAAAAAGAAACACAAAGAAACAATATGCAACAAAAGGAACAATTAAAATCATGATGATGATGATGATGATGATGACGATGATGATGATGATGATGATGATGATGATGATGATGATGATGATGATGATAATAATAATAATAATAATAATAATAGTAATAATATTAATATTATGATGATGATGATGACGATGATGATGATGATGATGATGATGATGATGATGATAATGATAATGATAATGATAATGATAATGAAAATGATAATGATAATGATAATGATAATGATAATGATAATGATAATGATAATGATAATGATAATGATGATGATAATGATGATGATGATGATGATGATGATGATGATGATGATAGTGATGATGATGATGATGATGATGATGATGATGATGATCATAATAATAATAATGATGATGATGATGATGATGATGATGATGATGATGATGATGATGATGATGATGATGATGATGATAATAATAATAATAATAATATCTAAAATGTATGAGTATATCATAATTATAAGTTTTTCAATTTATAAGTTCATTTTCCTTATTTTATTTTTTCACTTTCTATTTTAAAATATACACACTTGTTAATTTTCTTTACTTTACTGTTTTTTAATTCTAATAATTTTTTAAACTTTATTTTGATTTTTTTGAATGTTATAATATCTCAAAAATTTACTTGAGAGCCTTTTAGAACGTTTTTAAATCACAGAATCATACTCTTTAATTTTTTTCAATTTTTACAAATTTTTAGTATTTTATTCATCTTAATTTTCACATTTTTATTTTAGAAGACGAACATTTATTATTTTTGGACATTACCTTAAACTGTTCTAATTTTTATATATTTCTGAAAATTTATAGGCTTTTTTTTGTTTTGTGCTTTAAATTATACGGAGTATTTGTTTTCATTTTTAATTGTATATATACAATTTATAATTTTTTACTTTTATATTTTTGCTTTTAAATTTTCTAAAGAATAATTTACATTTTTTTAATTTTGAGAAATGTTTCCATTTCTTACATTGTAATATTTATATTTCTATATTTTTCCTTGTTTGTTGTAGTTTCATTAAAATCTCGGTTTATATGGGGTATACGAACTCTTTTTAAATTGTAAAACTACTTTAAAGTGTGTTTCATTATTATTTTTTATTTCTGTATTTTTAAGTTTTCAATAATTAATTTAACATTTTTTTGACTATATTTCTTTAAATTTAAATATTTTTTATATTATTTAGACTCAATTAGAAGTTTTAGACTTTGTATTTGTAATTATGCCTTCTTATTTTTCCTCAACTTGGATACTTTTTTATAATTTTTATATTTATTCTTATTACTCTTATTACTATTTTTTATTTAATATTTTTGCATTTTCACAAATTTTTACATTTGTACTATTCAAAAACATAAATTGAATAAATATTGAGCTTGTTCGTAGTACTCCGTATTAGTTTATCAATAGTGGGCGACGGGGCGTAGAGCACACGGAGAAGTAGAGATGGATCCTTACGCACGATTCTTTGAATTATATACTCCAGTGAGTGGATCTTGCATTGACGGTGTATTTGTGAAAGAAACATGTTATGAGTCTATTTTTGAAAGAAATTTTAAAAAGTGAAAAAAGTGATATTATTGTTAAGTCCTACTCTATATGTATCACTCCGGGTCCATAAAATGTCAGGACCGGGCTGCGTATGAATCTAAATACCCATAGCTTGAACTCCAACATAGAATTAATGAAGTAATTAAGTAACCTCAACCAAATTAAAGTACACAATATGACAGTTGCAAGAAATCGATGCATGATTCCTAAAATAACTACGTAAAACCACTGATACTTGATAAATGAACGAGCACTCGATGAATAACCAGCCAGGCCAAGATACCTTCAAATCTGCATGCCATTATTACGCAAGCTAAGCTTCTACAACAGCTTCTTATTCACCACTCCCTACGTACGTATATCAAATCCATTCATCAGTGACGAGCCGGAGGAGAGAGGCTGCCAGCATCATCGCCGCCACCGCCAGCTGCTACAGGCGGGTTGGGTACCTCCACACCGGGGTTAGGGAGGAGAGTGTCATCTCCGCCGGGAACATAGCCGGAGCCGCCGCCTATAATGCCATCGAAGGGGTTGATGGCGCCAGTTCCGCCGCCGCTTTTGCCAGTGATGGGGTTGTAGTTGAATGGGTCCACTATTTGACCCTTGGGCGGGATGACTACGCGGCCGAAGCCGGGAATCAAGACGGTTCCGTCGTAACCGTGGAGAAACTCAGGATGAAGTTTCTCGTCCACATTCTTGGACGCCCTGTTGATGTCGTCGGCCTGGTTGGGGATGCCACGCCCGGCCGCCATTGCAGGTACACTTAAAGAGGACAGTACATTAATGGTGAAGAGAATCAAAAGAAAAGTGCAAAGGAAACTACAAGCTTCCGCCATTGATGTGCTCTTGGGTTAATTCCTTGCGTGTTTAATTATTTGATTTGAGGGAGGGAATGTGAGGGTTGAAGAAAAGTTTGGGCTTACTTCAGTATTTATAGGCCAGGGTCAAAGAGGGCATGTAAAACGCCCAGTTACAGGTCATCTGCTCTGTTCCTAATAATAATTCATGAATTTCTACGGCGCCGCAATGTATCAACACAAATTAAATACAAAAATTCTTTTTTTGTGCACTTTCTTATACACATCGATACACCCCATGTTTGTGAGAGTTATTTTTTTGTCTGTGAATCTCAGTACACAGATAAAAATAGGCTTGTTTTGTTTGTAGAATTTTTCACAGACAAAATATGTCTGTTTTTGTATGTGGACTGGGATTCACAGACAAAAAAAACTCTCACAGACACGAGAATGCACGGATGTGTATAAGAAGGTGTACAACAAGAATTATTGAATTAAATAGCTCAACTAAATTACTGTAATAGGTAACGATGGTCTATCGGTAAGTTAAATGCATAAATGGTACTTTAACTATTGGTAATGTTGCACTTTGATACCTTAACTTTTAAATGAATCAAAACGGTATCTTAACTATACATTAATGTTTCAAATTGAGATTTTATTCAAATTTCCGACCAAAAAATCATTCATGACGATCAAAATTCCATGTACAGAGTCACCCTATAGTGATCATATGGGCATAAACAAGGTGAAGTAGACTTTATGCATAAAATTCATGTTGCCACATGTGATTTTTTGGTCAGAAATTTGAATAAAATCTCAATTCGAACATTTATGTATAACTAAGGTACCGTTTTGATTCATATAAGAGTTAAGGTACCAAAATGAAACATTACCAGTAAATAAGGTACCATTTAAGTCTCCGGTACGAATCTAGTAATTGCAATTGCGATGAGAGCTTACTATGTAAAAATGCTTAGGACTTTTATAAATATCAAGGTCAGAGCTACACTCGCTACCTGCTGGTTTTGATTAAAGTCTAATGTACATTTTCTCAATTAAATGTCGCGTCGGTGTGGAAAGCCCTCAGGATTGGATTTTCTTCCTTTTTGTGAGCCTGTTCATATGCTCACGAGTACGTTATTGGTTTTGCTAATTTAGCGAACCCCTCCGAACCGCATATACCCTAAAAAAGGGAGGAGCATATAAAAGACATTTTCATAGCAATAACTATTTATTCGTTTATAGATTTACTTAATATTTTAATAATAATAAATTTTGTCATTAAAATTAATTTCATTTTCCAGAACAAATATACTATATCCGTCCCAAATTGTTTTGCAAAGTCAACATTTTTTGTCAACCAATGTTAAAGTTAAATCATTCCTATTCATAATTAATCCAATTTTAATAATTAAAATTTACATATTCAAAAACTACATTAAAAAATCTCTATAAAGTTGCAAAATCTGGAACTGAGGGAGTAAACTGTACTCCTTCGGTCCCTCCGTCCCAAATTGTTTTACAAAATCAACATTTTTTTGTCAACCAATAATAAAATTCAATGTTCTGTATCGTTAATTAATTTAATTTTTAATAATTAAAATTTACATATTCACATGATGAAAATGGAAAAAAAGGGAAAAATGGGAAAAGACGGCGTGAGACGGCACGTATTATTTGGGATTGACACGAGTATGGGGTTGCATGGCAAAGTTAAAAAATAAACACAAATGCTAAAGGTACCCCAAAATGTACCTCATTTTTACCCTCACCTTCTAATGTGTGGCCATAAATGGGGCAATTCATTTAAGTGGGGCAACACTTAAATGAATTGGTTCATTTGTGACCACAAATTAAGGGTTGAGGTAAAAATGGGGTACATTTTGGGGTACTCCTAACAAAACTCAAAAATAAAAGAAATACTCCGCATATGACAATGGACTGAAACAGCAACAATGCCAAGTCATTGTGACTGGATGAAGCTTCAATGCCAAGTTACAAACCAAATGAATAATGATTTTGCTAAAAATAGAATTTAGAAGTGACTGTGAATCTATTCTAGTTTGGTACGAGTGAACTATTTTTTATTGAATTTTATAGTTTCTTATAAAATAGTCCGCACTATTTATTCAATGTTTCTAAAAAAATATTTATTCAATGTTTAATTTTAAAAATTTTAATTAGAATGAGTTCTCAACTTTTATAAGTGAATATGACATTGCTCTAATCATCTAAAATCTATTCACGGGGTGAAAACCAAGGGAAGGTTGAAGATATTAAAAAGAGATGCATTGCAAATTAGCTTCCCGAAAATAAAAGTAGACAAATGAGGTAGACACTTCATCCAACATAGAGAGTTTCAGCAAGTTATAAACCTTTTAACAAATTAAATGAAGATTAAAAAAATCAGATCCTTAGAGAAGAACAAATTAATTTTACAATTCCTTTACTTGAGAACAATTTAAACTCAATCCAAAACTTAAATACGTAGTATAAAACCAGCAAGTAGGGGTGTGCACCGGTTCAAAACCGGACCAGACCGGACCGGAACTGGATTTGCCATGATATGGAAACCGAAAACCGGACCGGATGTATTCCGTTTTTTATCCGGAATCGAACCGGTTTATCCAGTTCAAAACCGGAACCGGACAGGAAAAAACGGTTTCTAAATAAATAATTTTTTTCTTTACTATAAAAGCTACTAATCATTTGATAAAGATGGAGTACTTATTATTAAAAATATTACTTTTATTATTATTGTTTTCTAAACTCATTTTAATTAATTTAGTGAGCAAATATTGGAGTAACTTGAGACTAGAATAATGTATACGTAGTATTAGTTAGTTTTATTATTACGAGAATAAAAATGAATGGATAAATACAATATTAGGATAATATATATTATAATCATTATGAAATTGATTGCTATTATATATTGTTATTAGTATGGAGTATTATTTTTTATTTTATACTACCTTCGTCCCAAATTGATTTGCAAATTTGACTTTTCTTGGTCAAACAGTCTCGTTTTGTTTGCTTAATTAGGATGCCAATTTTTAATTATATTTTAATTTGGAGTTTACAACATTGAAGAGATTTCAATGTAGTTTATGAATATGTAAATTTTACTTATTAAAAATTGAATTAATTATCAATAAGAAGGATCGACTTTTACTATGGATTGATCAAAAAATGTTGACTTTGCAAAACAATTTGGGACGAATGGAGTAACTATTATTATATTTGTATTAGTAAATATAATTTTTAAAATATTGCAAAACCGGTTAAATCCGGTTCAAACCGGAATAATCCGGTTTTAAACCAGAACCGGACCGGAAATCGATTTCCTAAATTTTCATAATCGAAAACCGGACCAGATATCATTCCGATTCGATCCGGTTCTGGATTTTCTGGTCCGATTTGGTCCGGTTTTCCGGTTTAAACCAGATAGTGCGGCACACCCCTACCAGGAACTCAGGAAGTGATTTCGATTCACAATACAGCTCGTGGAAAAATAACGTGCGTTCAATATAGCACAACAACAATGCTTTTATTAGATGTTGTATTACCATAATTACAAGCTCAAATCATAAAGACAAAGAGAAGAAAAATAAAAAGAAAACGCCAATGCCCAATGGTCACAAAAAAGAATAGCAAATAAAAAGCCGAACCTGCTGTTGAGCTTTTACACTTCGAAAAGAGAAAACAATAACCATGGAAGGGTAATTACATTAAAAAAAAAGACAGAAGAGAACAGCCACATGACAGAACAAGAACAACAGACAAGTTCCAAGGAGACTCCCTATTACTCACATAACTATCTCTGGATTCAGTATGTTTGATTTGATCTCTTTGTGTGGCAGAACCACGCCCCCATTGCTGTATATCTCATCACACAAATGAACGTCCTCCCCGAGAATCGTCATGTTCTCCACATGGGCCCACTGCCCGACCGAGGAGTGCCAACCGATTATGCTGCTGGAAATGCAAGCATGCTTCTTGATGCGGACGCCACGCATGACAGTGCAGCGGGATAGCCTGACCCCCGACTCGATTGTGCAGCCTGGCCCGATCGCAACATCTGGCCCAATCAGACATCCCTCCCCGACTTTGGCAGTCTCATCCACAATCACGTTCCCGAGAATGTGGGGTCCAGAAGCCAGTTTGGGCGATGATTTCTTCCTCAGAGAGTCCAAGTAAAGTCTCAGCCCAGTGATGTAATCCTTTGGTTGCCCGATGTCCATCCAGAAGCCCGGAAGGACCATGGCATAGAGCTTTTTCTCTGCTGCGATTTTTGGGAATATCTCTTTCTCAATGGAGGTGGGTTTTAATTCAATTCGGTCTAAGACTGAAGGATTAAGCAGATAAATCCCCGCATTGATCTTATTACCAACAAACGTTTTTGGCTTCTCCACGAATCTCTCCACATTCCCGGTCGAGTCATCCATGATCACAACACCATACTTTGAAGGTTCATCAACCTATATAAACAATGATAATTAAAATTTGTGCTCAATTTGTTTTGAGGGTAAAACATCCTGCAAATTATTTTCTAGATTTCGTTGTATCTGACACTGGAAATTGTTTTGCTATAGCAAAAAAAAATCTTGATTCTTTTAGTTTTGTGAAAAAAGACTCCTCATTTTGAAACAGGAAGTCAATGTCATTGCGATGAAACAGTTCTATGGTTTCAATTTTTGTGGGTAAAAAACAACTATATACTAGTATATGGAATGCAGAAAAACTTATTTTCACGGGAAGACTTTTCCTACAAATATATTTTCCACAAAAAAAATCGTTTCCTGGAATCAAACATAGGCTTAATGTAATAGTGCTAACAAAATTTTTAAGGGACATGCAATTAGAGACTAACATACCTTGGTTACAAGTAGGGAAGCCTCACCTCCATGCGCCTTGTGAAATTCAATCATCTCCTTGAAAGGATACTCACTGATGACATCACTGTTGAGAACAAAAAATGGCTCACCGGACTCATCTAACAATTTGTCCCTAGCCAGGGCAAGGGGACCCGCGGTCCCAAGTGGTTCAGTCTCTTGCGAACAGGTAATCTTGATGCCAAGCTTTGATTCAAATTCTTTCAAGAAATTCAGCATCACCTGCATATAAAGATGCCCTTCTTGTTGAATATTAGATATACATTCAGGGCCTGTTTGGTAACAGTTATTGGATTGATAATGGCTGAATTTGTTGAATTGTCTAAAAGGGGAAGCATTTGGCAACTTCCGTTTCAGACAAGTCAAAAGCAACTTATCATATAGAATAAGACAGGTAAGGTTACCAAATGGAGGTATATGAATTGACAGATTAAATATGAAGTCAACCTCAGGCTGGTAGTTAATAGCCAGAACCACTTCACTCACTCCAACATCTTTAAGTGCCTCAATCTGAATATCAAATTGAGGAAAACAAGCAATTGAGAATTACAATTTGATAAAATGAGGATTACAATTTGAAGATATAAGCAAAGGTAAACATTTGAAAAATAGAATTCTTTAAGAAGATACCTGATGCAAAATCATAGGTTTGTTGGCAAATTCAACAAGCGGCTTAGGGATACTGAGGGTCAATGGCCTCAGACGAGTGCCAAAGCCTCCAACAAGAATGACAGCCTTCATACTGAGAATGAGATGCTTCTGGAAATAGTATTTATTAATTATTCAAAAAGGAAATACAGTGCACATATTAAAATTGGCAAACTTCATCCGTATTTATCCTAGCGGGAAGGAAAGAAACGTGTACAACTATAAAACTATGTATAGACACCTGTAAGCGAGATATGATGATCAACGGCTCATATTCACTAGATGAAAATGGACAAAGACGGTGTGACACGGCACGTATTATTTGAGATTGACACGAGTATGCGGTTGCATGGAAAAGTTAAAGTAAAATAAATAGGGAGTTTGACAATGTAGGAAACAAAATGAATAAGGATTTGGCTAAAGTTCAAATTCCGGCTATTCCACACGTAGGAAGCTTTTAATGAGAATTGTGACCGGATGAAGCTACAGTGTCAACTTTTAAACCAAATGAATAAGGATTTGGCTAAAATAGAATTTAGAAGTTACTGTGAGTCTCTATCTGATTTTTATGAGTGATTTAAGTCTTATTAATCACATGTAGAAGAGAAGCTGCAGCAAAGGAGATCACAATTCCACACAGAACTCAAAAATAGTTCTTCAACTATAGACATTGCTATAATCATCTAAAATCTATTCACTTAGAGGTGAAAACCAAGGCAAGGTAGAAAATATTAATAAGAAATGCTTTGCGAATTAGCTTCTCGAAAACAAAAGTAGAAAAGTGAAGGTGGCTAAATTAGACCCTTGATCTAACATAGACAGTTTCAGCAAATTATAAACCTTTTACCAACCTAAATGAAGGAAGTTTAAAAAAACAGATCCTTGGAGAAAAAGAACAAACTAATTCCACAAAATACGATGGATACACGAGAGCTGTGTGCAACAGTTCAAAAAGAGAATAAATCACTGCCTATTGTAAGGAAACAAAATCCAAAATTGAATGGAAATTTGAATCAAACAAGCAATGTAGCACCAGATCCAATGGTATACGCAAAGTATGACATGAGTATGTCCTATAAATAGAATAACATAATCAGAAATCCCACAGTAAAACCAATGTACATTGTTAAATTCTCAACTACAAAAACAATAACGAATGAAATAAAGAAAAATCAGAAGCAAAAACATGGAAAACGAGTCTCAATTCACACAACGACTAATTATCAGATCCCAATGCAGAATCATGAATAAAAAAAAGACGAAATAAGTAAGAACCCAGAGAATTCACCTTAAACCAGGGGTAGATCAAATGTATGATGGCGAGTTTAGGATGAGTCTACTAGGGTCAGGGCCGGGTCAATAGAAAAATTTCCCTCCTTTTCCACAGAGCCCCTGCAAATAAGGAGATGGAAGCAGTTATGGAGTAGCTATTTTCCAAAAGACTGACAACAAGAAAAAAGAAACAAATATATGACATAGCTCCCCTACAAAAATAGTCAACCATCGCAGTTTTTTCATGCTTCTGAATCATGAAGAAGAAACTGGTTAACACTCTTTTATAATTATTCCCATTTTACGGTGTCATTGAAAAACCATGAATTGACGCAATTGCATCTGAGTCTGATGAGGGATAAGTTGGACTTGGAGAGCTCGATATACTAATGAAGATGCTGGAATATGCTTTTATGAGGGTTTGGAGATTCAATAACCTACATCATATACCAGGAGTAAAACAGGAATAAGAATAAGAAAGAAGGCATCCAGAAGTGCTGCATCTTCAAAAAAACTCTTACGCAAAGTTCCCTTGCAACTTAACTTAAACCTCAAAAGTGAAATGGAAGGGGGTGCAAGATTAGATGTAAATATGTAATTGGAAACAGATTATGATGTATTTGGATCTGCTTCTTACAACAGAAGTAAATATTAGAGTGTTTGTATGAAAGTGCAGAAGTACTTTTGGGTGTTCTAAAATCTTTAAAAAACAATTTTTTAGAAGATAGAGGAGACCACCTTTTGGGAACTTATTTTAATTCCACTTCTGTTTTTAAAAGAAAAACAGAAGCTGATTCAATTTCTTTAAACCGTTTTTGCTCCTCCAAGAAATAGAAGTAGACATTAGAGTATTTGGGTGAAACTATAGAAATACCGAGTGCTTCAAAATGCTCCTAAAAGTAGTTTTTAAAGCAGTTTCTGAAAAACTGATTATGATTCTATACTTACGGTTTCAAAGAAACAAAAGTATAATCAATTTGAAACACTTTAACAAAGAAGAGGACCCAAAGATGAAGAGGAATGTGCTTCCCTTGAAGCAAAAGGAGAAGATAGTTATGTAGGCGTTGAGAAATAACTCAAGATCAAGAGGCTGCTAGAGTGATTATGAAACTTGCTGGGTACCACGTTTGGAGTTTCTACTATCATTATGATGTTTTTACTTGAACTGTAATTCCTCTCAGATCAAACCAGTTGAGACCAGACCAGGTTCAGATAGTTATAAAAATATAAAGAAATCATACCAGAACATACCAGTTTAGACCAGACCAGACCTGCAAATTACGGTTCAAGTAAAAATGGTCAAAACCTATGAGAGTCAAAAAAATCTAGGTCGTGATCACATTTTAATTACCTTGAAAAAGATCCTCAATCTACACATACCAGAGGTGGTCGGCAAATTATACCGTGGGATCGGCCCACCATACGCATGGTGTGCCGATCCCCATACGGTACCGTTTTTGTCTTCCCACTCTCTCATCAATCTAATCCTCTGTATGACGTAAGTTTTCTTTCTTTTTTGCTCCAGATTACTATTTTCTTTTCTATTTTCTTCAATTCTTTTCTCCTTTACATAAAAATACTAAAAATTTATTTGTGAGTTTACTTATCTTTATCTTTAACTAATTAAACACAATTGAATTTATATTTTTCTCTATCAAATTATTACAAACTTTTATTAATCCACATTAAAATAAGTATGTTGTACTATCGTATTTCATAATCATACATTTTTTCTACTTTTTTTTATCTTCAACTGAAATTACAATAGAATATATTTTCTCTTTAATATTTTTTATATTTCATGTTCATAAATTTTTTTCTATAATATATTTCTTATCTCTTTGTAAAAAAAATATATTTCTTATCTCTTTGATATGTTTTTAATGTTTTTAGGACATTAAATTTGATTTTTTCGATTTAAATTTCATAAAACATGAAATTATGTTACATTTTTCATATGTGTGAGTTATGTATATGAAGTTACATCTTCTTATAGGCGAGTTACATCTTGTTGTGCACGAGTTACTTCTTCCTATGCGAGAGTTACATTTAGATTTGCCTCAAGATACATTTGCATACCTCTAATATATTTGCAAAAAAATATATATATAATTTTTTGGTAAAAATCGATTTCTTTGGCAAAAAAGTGATTATTTTTTTATGGCCTTCATATTAAAAAGAGAACATATTCACTATTTAACTAAACTCATGCTATAGAAACAAAAAAAATGTTTTTTTTTGCAAGAAAAAAATGATTTATTGGCGAAGAGATGATTTTTTGGAAAAAAAATGAATTTAAGGAAAAACATTATTTATGGCCGTAATATTAAAAACAAAACATATTCACTATTTACGTAAAATAATTGAACAATTAGACTCTTTGTTTTCATTGAAATCAATATTTTATTTCTTACAATCCGTATTAGACACGTTACATTTTGACTTGCTTGCAGTTACATTTCTTATCAGCAGAATTACATTTCTTTAAACGCGAGTTACATCACTCTGCTACTGGATACTGAACAGTAACACGCGTTTTTTGCCTAGGAGCAGCATGCTCACCGTGGGCTGCTCCCACGGTATATCAACGGGAGGTGGTCCGAATGGCTATTCCAATCTTGAAGCGCCAAACAATGACAAAATACAATCAATATGCATATCATCCATACTCATCTCGACTTCTATCCATTCCTAGAAAGACTCAAAGACCACCAGTACCGCAAGCAAACTTAGAAACGGAAAGGACATCAACAAATTGTGTACGACGGACACTGCATTAGAGTACTCTATCCGGTAATGTATATCCCAAGATAGGATTATGAAAATTTGTAATTAAAACATAAGACAATTTGGAATTTTCGACTTCATCATTTTTCCCTGCATCGGTGCACCGTCAATAAAATACACTCAACATATTTTTTTGCATATCAATTTAGTAAAATAATAATTAATTTATTATAAATAATGTTTTCCGTTTAATATTTTCCCTAAATAATTGTGAAATAAAAAATACACATTTCGATGTAAAAATAAATAAATTTCATTAATTTTTTTAATGTTTTCGGTTAACAAAAATGAACTTAGTTCAAGTAAAGTTCGATTATGAAATATTCAGTTATTTCTGAAGATTCCATGAATTAAAAATTTGTGTTTCATCGTTTTTTAGACTGAAGAAAACTTCAACGGTTAAAATTTAAGAATTTTTGTTTCATTTTATATATTACATATTGGTGTTGTTGAGGTTTAGTCGCGTAGATCCGAAAGCCCAACACAGACTTTGGATATATCAAGAAATGGACAATAATTCGGTATGTAAAAGAAAATATACAAGATTGATAATCGAATGCTCAAAAGTCCACTTGTATTAATTGACCTGTTTGATTACAAGGAAATTACCTGAACGGTACGTCGGATTGATGCTTAATACAAGAAACAAGAGTAATAAGGCTATTCTAGGGCTTGAGTATTAAAATGCTAACTCTTACAATGATATTAAACCTTATATTTATACCAATGGAGAGTATGGGATGCTTTATGTTGATTGGCCGATGTTCCATCGACTTAATCACCCATGCCTCCACTTGATAATGTCACAATCTGGCATTAATTGCACATGGCCACCTGTTGGTTGTCCGTTGCCCGAACGGGATAATGGGCCCTGTAAAACATTGTTGATTTGGCCCAAGTATGATGCATGACCCGAACCCCGTTAGGTATGTCTGTTTTTTGGGTCAGCCTTTACTTGGCCCGAACCTCGTTCGATATGAATATCTCACTGGACCTACTTATCATAAGGTAGTGGACTCGTTGTTTGGGTTGGATGTCCTGGGCCTTTAATCCGGGTATTGGGCCTCCGGGTCAATATCCCAACAGGTGTCATATGAAAGATCATAAAATTTTATGAATTTTGATATATATTTTGAAAAATTTGGAGAACAAATAAAAAAGTTATACAAGTTTCTAAAAAAATGAGATATTATGATGCAATGATGATGTGTGCACGACATCAGATTCACCAAAAGTAACTCTTTTCATAAAATTTTACTATTTTTCTTCTTTTTCTTTTTCCCTTTTTCTACTCCTCTCAACACACCCTCTATATATAACTCATTCCATCCCCTTTTTCACTTTTAATACTTATTTTAAACTACCACTACACACAATTAGGAGTCTAAAAATTTCACATTTAGCCATTTAGACTCCTAATACCTCACCACTCCAAATGGTCTAACCCAAAATAATGCTAAAGAAAAACGTATGTATATCGAATTAAAATTGTTTCCCAAGAATAAATCGTAGAATAAATGCCAAATCAATCAACAGCTTATCCAAAACAAAGTACGACGTACAAACTATAAACAGCAAGCAAAAGAGAAAACCTACAGTAATGGGCCCCACATATGTAAAGTCTCATGTATTCTAAAAGTCTTGTACTTTATTATCCATATTTTGATTGTTATAAAAAATATATCAAAATTTATATTTTTTAATATTTCATATGACACCAATATTGAATATATAAAAACAAAAAAAAATGCACTTTTAAAAAACTCAAGCTTTTTAAAGTGTTATAACTTTTTGATTTGTATTTGGATTGATATAAAAAATATATCAAAATTCATAAATTTTCTTTATCTGTAATATGACAACAATATTTGTTGGTCCAAAATAGAACGCTCGTAGGCTTTTAGGAAAACTACGTACGACACTCAAGCAAGAATTAGGAAAAGTAGTATGGAAATGGAAAGCGCTAAAGAAGTTTTAGTTGCTAAGAATAGCGTGTCTATTATTTGAATCAGACTTGCCTTTTATAGGCGATTACAAATGATAACTGCTAAAGATACTAATGGCTAATTAATTACAACATTAATACGGAATTAAATACATAATTAAGTCGCACATTATTTGCTCCGGCTGTTACTGTTCATGACTGTCAGGTCGGCCTGGCTGGCTGGCCGGACTGTTAAGACTTGGGGTTCCATCCTAAAAGGTCAACCTGATAGGAGGAGCTCATGTGTTAATATAGCATTTTGTTGATTCAAACTTTTCTGGTGTGGGATTCTAACACCTCTTCTCACGACGAGACACTTCGTCTGGATCGTGTCGTCAGTCATTTTGTCAGCGGTTCATCATTGTCATTTTTTAATCGTGTCGTCATTTTTCATAAGGGGGGCCCACACCATGGTTATAGATCGGTTTGGCTCTGATACCATGTTAAGACCTTGTGTTCCATCCTAAAAGGTCAACCTCATAGGAGGAGTATATATACTACTTTAAATTATTATGCATGTTCAAATATCTCAATTATTATATGTCAATTACCATATTATGCATGTTCAAATATTCCAATTACCGTATTAGTACAACTAAAACTTTGAATGTTGTATTGTTATGACTTTGAATGATATTTTGACCAATTATCATTTTATTTATCACAATATCAATTATGTCAATCACCGTATATTATTATTTTACATGTTCAAATATGTCGATTACCGTATTTATACAACTATTACTTTGAATGATATACCAGTATAACTTTGAATGATATTTTTACCAATTAACATTTTATTTATCACAATTTCAAC